TGTTTTAATTTACTTTCAAATTCTTCAGTTGCTGAAGGGGCTGCATAGTTTTCATAAATTGCATAGTTCAGAATAGCTATAATTGTACCAGATGGTTCCATTCAGTTAAGTTGGACTAGACTGTAATACAAACCGTTCAAAAAATAATAATAATAAAAAATTGCAGTAATATCGTATTGTGCGTTAAGTATTGTGATAATATCGTATCGTGGGATGTATGGTGATTCCCACCTCTAAAAACCATGAAGACAAACAGTGATGTATTATAGTTTTTCTGTGATCTTATAGTCACATAAGGATTATATTGCAACTTTTCACAGACTTTATTTAAATTAATCTTTATTTCTGTATTTTTCCCTGGCAGACGGTTAGAAATCAAATTCTTCAAGAGTATCGGAAAATTAAAAAGGTAATGACTTTCTTAAAACTCCCCACTTTTTTTTTTTAAACCACCGCTTTTAAATAATCAAGTTTTCCTTTCCTCACTACAGTCCAACCCAAACTACAATCAGGACAAGGCTCGCTGTGAATACTTGCACAACAAACTGGCACACATCAAGAAGCTCATATCAGAGTATGACCAGCAGCAGCTCCGTGTGGAGCATGCCGCTATGAACTGAAGAGCCTAACTCGGAATGACGAGTGAACTTCACGAGTACGAAAGAAGATCCCCAGCCAAAGGGGATTCATGCTGCTGAGCTCAGTGCCATCATGCTTAGATCTGTGGTCTTAATGGCTAAATATAGTATCATTAGATCTACTGCGATTGTTGGCGGGGTTTTTGTGAGGAGCTGGAGTGATCGGACGGCAAGATGAGGGATTTTCTTTGAAAGTGGTCAAAGTGATGCTACTGCAGCAACACGGGAGTAACAGTAGTTTTGCTCTAAAAGCTAGAACTAGGGTCTTACTCCTCAAAATGCAAACACACGAGGAAATGAGGTGAAAAGCCTTAAAAGCATTTGGAGATTCTCATCCCTATTACACCTTTTAGTCGTTGATTTGGGTTTTTTGTGTGAATTTAATCAATTTAAGTATTTACTAACATGTTCTGTCAAACACATCAGTGTTGAGGTTTAAACTATAAACATGAAAAAATAATAAACTACACGCTGTACCCACCCAGACAGCTCATACAAATGGCAGGTGAAGGTTAATGTCTGATGGCAGCTGGGACGCAGATGTGTCTTGAGAAGAATCTGTCCTGTTCTTCGGGTTTGGTGAGATTGCCAGTTGGCTGTGACTGCTGAGTTTTGCCTTGCGCTCCAACTGGACTCGATTCATAGTATTCCACTGGTACTGTGCTTCAGGTGATTTTCCTGGATCACTGAAGACTGTTATGTTGAATGTCATGTGAACTTTAAGTTGTAATCAGGGAATGTGTGTTCCGCACGAGCTTCAGTAAAAGTGTAAATTTAAAATAGGTTTTAATTGTCTGGAAGGAAGTTATTATACTGTTTCAGGGAAGGAATCGAAATATGAAAAGACGTAATTGCATGCTGTGTACTTTACAGAATGCATGATGCATTACCTATGATTTTGTCTGAGATTCAAATAAATCTGTTTGTACTCATTTTGTGTGATACTTCTTCTTATTTACTGTAATTTTACTCTAAATATCAAATAAAAGAGTAATGAATGATGTAAGATGAAAAGGACACTGTATTTGGTAATCATCATTTTGATGCAGAAATACTACTTTATGCCTGTAAAATGTTGTCTTTGACATATTTTCAGATCAACTAAAAAGGGGGGAAACAAATGTGCTTTTGCCATAAGCTTGCAACAAAGACGTGTGGTTCATCCCTTGAGTTGTCTGGGTTTGTTTTTTTTTTGGGGGGGGGGTTGTTTTGTTTTTTATGCCCTAGTTTTATAGATTAGTTTTAGATTCATAAGTATATTAATTTGGTCCTGGTCTAAATTAATCAATAAATGAAAAAGGTCTGTAATTCATTATTTTCTCTCTAAACCTCGATTCACAGCTTGATTATTCAGTCATCACTCTGTTTAATAATAAAGAAAGGCTCCCACCCATAGGCTAATATCCATTGCGTCAATCTGAAAACATGCTTCTGATTGGTCCGTTTTTACCCTGTCAACCTCAGTAAGCAGCTTCATGCACTTGCTAGCAAGCTAAAAACACGGGATGTACCATGTTTATGTAACTGAACTGCCCTTGAACTTTGTCACTTTCATGACGTGAAAAAAGAGACACACATTGCTAAATGAACGCTTCTGGTGAGTAAATGAAGCCGTTATTCGGAAATATCGGAAAGGAGCGTACTAAGCAAAGTAGCTAAGCTAACTGAAGTTGCAGCTGCTTCAGGTGGTGATATTTGCAAGAAGAAAACATGCAAAGAGGGTAATAAGATGCATTACTGCTGGGAAGTAAGCGTCTTTGCTGCAAAACACATGTAAAAAGACAGCTTTAGTTAGTGCACTTACTAAAGCTGTTCATATCTTAGGTCTCTTATACCTCATATATCTTCTATCTCCTATTGCTGTTTGTGTTTATTAATGGATGCAGAAAGAGATGCAACGAATTGCCACCAATGTAGAGTTTTATCAAGGTTGGCTTTTTATTTCTGCGTCTTTGAAGCAAAGAAAATGCAGTTAACTTCTAGCTAACAATCCTAACATTGCAGATGACTAGAGACAAAATAACTAGAAGCTTTCAACTCAACTACAAGATAAAAATGCTTTTGAAAATATCCAACTCTTCTTGTTGTTCCACCTGTTTTCTGCAGCTTGTGTTGCCGCCTGTCTCTACAGTCATGGCAGGACTTTTCCAAAGAGCACTAAGGCTAAGGACAGCTCTGAGATGTCTGTACGACTACAACACGCTCTCACGATCTACAGCCACTCTTTCACCTGTTGACTTTCACAGTCCTTTTCTGACCTGCAGCTCAGAACAGGTTTTGGCCTCCACTCGTAAGCTACATGCTGGGGCTGACGGTTCTAAAGTATCTCCTTCTGCAGCACCAGAGAGGTTGCCGTTCTGCAGAGTAACTGAGGAAGATCTGGCCTTTTTCAGGAAGATCCTACCAGGCAGAACCATTGTCGACCCTGATCTGGTGGAGCCTAGTAATGTGGATTGGCTAAAGTCTGTGAGAGGTGAAGGCCACAATTGAATCCTTAATATAGTTCATAATAATAATCTACTGCTGTTGATGGCTCATTTTTCTGTTATATGTCCTGCAGGTTCTAGTGAAGTGTTGCTTAGACCTCAGACAACAGAGGAAGTATCACAAATTCTAAGGTAGATGGTAACCAAATCAACAGAAAGGTGTTTATCTAGTCATCAGACTTTTTCACATGTTTTGTTTTTCTCCTATAGCTACTGTAACAGTCGTAATCTGGCGGTGAACCCTCAAGGAGGAAACACTGGGCTGGTTGGTGGCAGCGTGCCAGTTTATGATGAGATAATTCTCTCCACCTCTCTAATGAACAAAATCCTTAACTTTGACAGTATCTCTGGTAAGTTTAAAAGTTGAATTCAAAAGAAGTGCTTCGCCATAGACTGACAAATACCTGACAAATGTGTTTTTGATTTATGGTTACTTGTGCTGAAAATTCTCAAAGATCACTTTGTTTCCCTCTCAGGTGTTCTGACCTGTCAGGCAGGTTGTGTCTTGGAGAACTTGTCTTTCTACCTCGAGGAGAGAGACTATATAATGCCACTGGATCTTGGGGCAAAAGGCAGTTGCCAAATTGGTGGCAATGTAGCAACCAATGCAGGTGGTCTCCGGCTGCTGCGGTATGGGTCCCTACACGGGACTGTGTTGGGTCTGGAATTGGTGAGTGCTGGACTTTTGATGCTCTTACCCCCCCAAAAAATAAAGCTTATTTGCAAATCTGTAACACATGCAGGTATTGGCAGATGGGCAGGTGTTGGACTGCTTATCCACCCTGAGGAAAGATAATACAGGATATGACCTCAAACAGCTCTTTATAGGGTCAGAAGGCACTTTAGGAGTCATTACTGCAGTGTCCGTCCTTTGTCCACGGAAACCCAAATCTGTTAATGTTGTTTTCCTGGGTAGGATTTTCTATTTGCTTCTCAGATATACCTTTGTAAAAGATGATAGAGAAAGTTTTGTAAACCATTAAATGCGTTGCTTTTCTTGGAGATTAGCAACAAAACTCATGTGTTTATCTCTGCTGTTAGGTTGTGAGACCTTTGAGCAGCTGCTGAAAACATTTCAGCTCTGCAAAGGCATGCTGGGAGAAATTCTGTCCGCCTTCGAGTTCCTGGACAGTGAATGTATGAGGCTGCTGAATACGCATCTCAAACTACCCAATCCTATATCTGGTATAAGCATGTTCTCTCTCACACATACACACATCTGTAACAATCCTATAAAACGAGTGAGCACACGCAGACCTTTCCCTTTGCTGTGCAGACTGTCCATTCTACATCGTCATTGAAACTTCGGGATCTGACCCGACCCACGATGCGCAGAAACTCCACAACTTTCTTGAGGAGGCAATGACATCATCGCTGGTCAGTGATGGAACGGTAGCAACTGAGGAAGCAAAAATAAAGGTCGGTGGACATGATTGGGAAAAAATATGCTTCTGTTGCATACAGTGAAGAAACTTAAGTATTCAAAGATTCATCCAAGATCATTTTATGTAATTGCATAGGTAAATATAATGCCAAATTATAAAAACATTTTCTGCTCCCGTTTTCTCAGGCTCTGTGGTCACTGCGTGAACGTGTCACTGAGGCACTGACTCACGATGGCTTCACCTACAAGTATGACATCTCCCTTCCAGTGGAACGGATCTACCAGCTGGTGACAGACATGAGGAAGCATCTGGGAAACCGGGCCAAAAGTGTGGTGGGATACGGACACGTAGGTAAGACGACTTGATAAAATGATCTGCACATACTCTATACACATACTACTGTCAGCTATCATCCAATTCTCTCTTACTTATCCTGTAGGTGATGGTAACCTCCACCTGAACGTCACTTCTCCGTCTAAAGACCCTGCTCTCCTGGCTGCCATTGAGCCATTTGTTTATGAATGGACAGCCAGCTGTCGTGGGAGCATTAGTGCAGAGCATGGACTGGGCCTGAAAAAGAGGAACTACATTTACTACAGTAAACAGAGCCAGGCTGTGGCACTGATGGGTAACATCAAGGCTATGCTGGACCCCAAAGGCATCCTCAACCCGTACAAGACTTTACCAGACAACCTGAAGCAGTGATGTACGCAGAGGTCATGCTCGAGTTAAACTTTAGTTCCAACCTCACCGCTATATGCCGTGTGTGGCAGTTAGGGTGCTTTTCACACATTTGGTGCAGAGCTGACAGTTCGCTCAAAAAACCCTATTTGTCACACAAGCCACAAAACCCAGTCTTGCAAAAAAGAAAAGACAAAGTAGTTTCATTTTCTACAAAGCATTACTTTCAGACAGATATCTTCTTTAGCAAGCTGCGTAAGTGAAGTTCCAGTTTAAATATTTTAACTACCCTTGTTACTTGCACTGATAGAGTAGCCTTAGTCTGATGCACTCCATATACTATAGAATATTCAGTGGGTTTTAGAGCTTGAAAAGAAAAAAATTCCACTTTCTCAGAGGAAACAAATGAACAATGACTGTCCTTCATATGGTGTTTGAGTGCCACTAGAGGGCAGGTGGGTATAACAGTGTGGGTAAAATGTTGTCTGGATAAACTGATGTTTGATACATTTATGCAATGAATGCCACAGCTTGTAATTGGTGGCCAGCTGTTTTCCTGTCAAAATCCAGATGTTCTGGATTTGGATGTAGCCATTGTAGGTGTCGGCAGCTGACTGTGTACATGTACTGAATGTATAATCATGCAGTAGCAGATTAAAGCTTTCCAATTTTGTTTGTAGAAATCAGAGCACATACTGCCCATTCATTAGGCAAGAGTGCAATAAATGTTTTATTACATATAAAAAGGCAAAACAACTTTTCCCCCCCAAAAAACAAAGCCAGCATTTGAAAACAAAATCCTTCATACACCTGCAACTTTAAATTTAAAGTCTTCAATAAACATTTCCAAATGAAGACGGAGTGTTTGTTTTTCCATTATTCAGGCAACTTGTACATAACTAGATTTCACCTCCAGTCTCTTAAAATAAAATGCACATTAGAACACAAACCTTTTGTGATTCCTCCTTGCCTGAGCAGAAGACTTTTTCAGAATCAGCCACAGTGAGTTTATAAAGTATGCCACACAGAGGATCAGGTCATTTCCTATCCCTATCACAAGTTACACACTACTTCCTATTGGCAGGTACTTGCTGCTTCTCTAGTCCACAAACCATCAGAATAAACATGTTTGTAGTGTTTTGATCTTCTTCCCTACCCTTGTCCACTATTTCTCAAAAAATCATTTCCTATCCAAATAATGATGACGTGTAGAGGAAGTCCAGTAGAGTAAATGCCTATATATGTATGCAGTCAGTTTCACACACCCATCGCACATTAATCTGTATCTTCAGTAGTGTGTTAGCAATGGCGATTCAATACATAAATAACATACTAGTGTTTTTTTTTCTTTAAGAAAAAGGTTTAAAAACAATTTTGATT